ACAGGAAACCTGCCTTGCAAACATAACGAAGGGACTGCAACTGCATCTGAATCTCTTGGAAGAGATCAGCAAAGCAAACATGCTGGCTCAGACAGACCAAGTGAAAGACCTTCAAGCTGAAATTCAAGAACTTCTGGACCTCATCGAAGAGGTATGGTATTTGACTTGGGGACTGTTCTTTTGTGAATGGGTAGAGGAAATGTATTTAATAGTTTTGAATGACTGTTTTGTAGCATCAATTCCTGAATTCCATGAATGTTTTAGTCATGCCTTGATTTAGAAACTCACTTTCATGTACTGCTAAATTTAAATTATGTCTGGCATCTTTGGATATCAGTCAAGTAATGTGTTTAAACCATAGTAATATAAATAGAGAAGGTCAACCTTATCTCATGAGAAGTTGTAATCATTCATACAAGATGGCAAAAATGTCAACTTTACCTTCACTGTGATAGAAAAAAACCTCTTACTCATGATAAAAGTGTGTTGAGAAGGTGCAACCTTTTTGACTGTATTGTATTATTATTATTTTTGCATGTTTGAACGCTCCATTCATGTATTCATGTATTTTCACAGTTGCAGAACCAGGCAGGATTTGACCCATCGAAGCAGGCATCAGATGAGCAGTCGCAGACCCCTGAGCATGATCTGGCCAAGCATCTGACAAGTGAATACATGACCCAGGTGGCAGCCCACCTCACCCTGCAACAGCTTCAGGACTTCAGCTGTGACATCCTCCGCAGTATCCTCAGTATGACCTCCAGCATGGCAGAGAACCCTAACACTGTGCAGCTCTGCGTAAATGCAGCAGGTCTATGAGCAGCCTAGACCGTAAAAAGCCCAAAGTATACCTGAGTCTTGACACAAACGCATGGCCTTTCAACATATACTTATAGCCTGCAAAATATACTGAAACACATGCAGGTTGACAAGAGCTAAATTGAAAGTTCTATCTTTGTCCAGTGTCTGTGCTATTCTTCCACAGATGTTAGGAAAAATCGACTTCCCTATGGAGAAAATAATCCTGGCTGTTGTACTCTATATAGAGAATGCAAAGATTAAAAAAATGGGCTATGCACGTACGGCGTTGTACCCTAGCATACATGTTAAAATCAAAGTAAACTTTGGGCTTTACACAAAAACAGATGCAACATGATACAGCGACAATACAATGGTATTTGTTTTTTTTCTTCAGATTTTGTATTTTTATTTATTTATTAATTAGGTTATTTATTTTATATTTCACGTGGCATTTTATTTATTATTTATTCATTTAGCCATTTAGGAACTCCCTTAAATAACTGTATTCTTTACAGTCTCATAAAGTAATGTATTATTTAATTCACTGTGAAATACTTTACTGTGTCATACAATCTGCGCACATGACCATGTCTCATAAGTTGCTAAATGAGAACATGGGCATTGGATTGGTCTCCTGATCTCTGTGAGAACTACACACTGTTTTTATTAGTCATTTCATGTGGTGTTATGCTCTTGTTTTTATTTTTCGTACCCATAAAAAGTCAATGTATGTGTATGTATGCTTCAGTATATTTTATTTATTTATTTATTGAACTAAAGATACATGTATTTATTTTTTGCCATTATTTGTTATGATATTTTTGGAATATTTGAAGATGTGCCTTCTATTTGATCAAAATAAACATTTCTAATGTGTGTTAAATATCTATTGTCGCTCATATTTTCTCTCTGTATTTGAGATTTAATCGTGTCATCTTTAGCCAGTTGACAATTAATTAGCAAACAGACAAAGGCCCAATGAACTATAGAAAAATAATGCACACCTTGCGACATGTTGGGTCTGCATTATTTTTCGGTCCAGATTCAATTTGTTACATGTTGCTGCTTATCAAGCGCACAACGCAGTAGAATTCCATTGCACAGTTATTAATAATAAATCCAACAAGAAAACACAGGAGATCGTAGCAGGAAAAGCAACACACCATAAACCACAAACAAACAAACAATACCGGACAGCGAAGTGACTAAAACAGATGATCATAATTAACTGAAACAAAACTGGTGTGAAGCAGAACCCTCATAATCTTTACTAATAATCATAAAAAGATTAACTTCCCCTTCCACCTTTTTTTATTTTTATAATACTAAACAACATAGACTGTTATAGTGTTAATTGTGGTAAAAATATTGTTTTAGTTTGGGTTAATAATAGTAATAATAATAATGACTTTTTCAGTGACTACTAAAATAGTAAAAAAAAAAAAATTAATTAACTTTTACAGAAAGTACATTTGTTTCTAGAATGGATTATACAAATATCTGAACAGAAGCCTTGGACAAAGCTGGATGGTTACATAAAATGATCCAATTTTCCCACACATGAACACATCAATCCACAAACGCACGCAACAAATCTACAAATCCACTCAGCAGAAGAATGCGAAAACAGAAGTTTTTCTTTGCTTACAATCCACAATTTCACAAACGTATATATAATACTGAATTGCACAAAGTGAAACTGCATAAAAATAAATTGCATAAAATATTATCAGACTGACATACAAAGGTTTAGTTAAAGAGAGAAAACACAATTTTGAACAAGCTTCTGTTTACCATATTTAATTAGCATATTATGGAAGAAAATACCATTTTCAAATGTACCAAGTACTTTTCAAGTTCAAATACAATTTTAAGGAGTAAAAAATTAAGCTTTAGCGTTAGTTCTGGCAGGTCACGTGAGTCAAGCTTGCATCAGCTGATTCTCTTTTTCTTCAGAAATGCAATCAAATAGAAGGACACCAATCAGTTTAAATTGTACTTGAGTAAACTACAAATTCTCAAAAGAATACAAACAGTAATCAAGTAGTTCACATCCCTGTTTTATCCTGAGATAACATGAATGAAATAACTGGCATTGCATTTTGTCATAAATAATTATAATAATAATATATCTGGAAAGTATTAAATAATTGAAAAATATTAGTATAGAAACTCCCCAGCTAATGTATCCCCCCACTCCCAAAAACAAGTTTACTTATAGAATTCTGTCCAATGAATAGAATGACAATGCATTTTACAATTCTCAGAAAGAGAAAAAAAATAGGATACCCTCTGACAGACACTGTGCTGACGTTATGGGCATTCCTTGACGTACAGGATATGATGTAACACAAGTCCTATTTTTATCCAGTTCTTTGATTTTTTGAGTGGTGTTCTTTTCCACTTGATCATACTTTGTTATTTCCCAGTACTACAAGCTCTATTTGGTTTCTAACAAGTTGAATTATTTGCTGACTCACATCAAATCGAGTTGACTCACTTGGTCCATTATCCCACCATGCCTACTGCAGTCACATCACATATCACTGTTCCTTCTTAAATATATAATAAATCATATTTATATTAAAACTATGTATATATTAAAAAAAACATAAAAATGTCAAAAACACTGAAATCACCAGAACTGCAGTATTGTGGCACCTAATGTGATCTTAAAATGTAAGCAAATCAGATGGAAGTCTTTTCTCCTCTTTAAACCATTGACTTGAAATAAAACTTTCAGGCTTTTTTTTAAAGAAAATATCCATGTCATAATATTAATGAGCCATAATTATTTGACAAACTTTAAAATAACTCGCATCCATTAAGCATTCTTTATTTTAAGGGATTTTTTGTTGTGCCTGGCTCGTCAGTTGGAGTCAACTGGATTTGGGTCCTGACATTCCCATACTTGACATGGCTGTTTTTGTTTTTTGGCCGTTGTGAATATAAAATATATATTATTGTGAATATAAAAATATATATATATATTTTTTTTGAATATATATATTTTAAGTGTCATATTTGATACATCAGGCTTCTATGGCTCATATTGTATGATATAGGAGAATATGGAGCTTATACTGCAGGAAAAGACAATGCAATTGTATTATCCAAACTAAACAAAAATCTGCAGTTTCCTGCAGTAGCTGTTGTATTGCCAAAAAATTGTGACGGCTTGTAATGCAAATCAATGTGATTTTTATAACAGTATAGCAGTCTATTAACATAAAATGCATATAAATATCAGTTGTCACTATATAATTGGTCTCAGCAAAATGATACTTAAATGCTTACTTTTTGATCAAAGCTCTGTAGTTTCTATTGTGGGGGGGGGGGGGCTAATACAATGAAGACAGATAACTGCCTGAAGATAGATGTTTTTGGAATTATACTAAACTGTCTTTTACTTGCTAAAAAAGTATAAACTATCAATCAGGCAATAGAAGGTATTTAGCAGATTGGGTACAACAGGTTTTCAGCAAAGTTTTGATCATGTTGATAATTTACAGGCCTTTGAAATTTTGTGCATCAAATATGATACAGTATACAGTGTGCTGCCTGCATTAGCATACATGAAGCATATGTTCAATTGAACGTCCTGCTAAAAGCCATGCATATATGTACACACGCTGATTTTAAGATTTAAAAACAGATAACACATTTTACCATCTTTTGCCTCAATAAACTTCTAATTTGCTGTTCATTAATAGTTTGTAAGGTAGTTGTTAAGTTTAGGTATTGGGTAGGATTAGGAATGTAGAATATGTGCTTTATAAGTACTAATAAACAGTCAATATGTCAATAATAGACATGCTAATAAGCAAATAGTTAATAGCGAGGATTGGTCCCTATACTAAAGTGTTACCCACATTTTGTAAATCTTATTTTCATCAAATAAAGAACAGTTTGAGAAAAGGTGGCCAACTAATGGTAAAGTACACCCCCATTAGTTTTTCCTATGTACGTAGATAATATCTAATGGTAAAGATATTTCATAGTGTGAAACCAAAGATAACTGACTTCAGAGGAAATCTAATGTGTTACCACTGCTGAACAAACACTTTTGCTCATGCTTGTTGACAGGCGTAAAATACACCTTATGAAGACAAATTTTAACAAAAGAAATGCCATCGAGAAGCATCTTCAAGAGTGTTACCATTTTATTGGCATTTTAGTAAAAATATACAATAATGGGGTTTCATATTTCGTAGGAAATTCAAATCCCTTTGGCATTGTTTATAAAAACACGCAAAAAGTAGTGAACACACAATACTACATGAACTTTGACAACGTATATATACATAAAAAAAACAAACATACCACAATTTTACTTTCTGTTTACTTATGATTGATGGAAATAAATGGCAAATTAATGTGAGCAGTCAGCAGTCAGTGACTGTTTCAGTTCACAGGTATGCCCACGTATGTCAAATCAGAACTAACACTGAGCTGTCCTCAAGACGTCAGATGTGAAAGCAACACCAAAACCCACCAGCAGTTACAGGAATCATATGTAAATAATGAGGAAAAACGTCTGTTCTCTCCTGGGGAGGGAGGTTGAAGCGGTTTCCTCTGTCGCACACCTACCAAAACTACGTCTTCTTCGAGGCGCGTTGGAGTGAATGTCCTCTACAGAGCAGCGATGGCTTTAGCTGCCATTCTCCGGCCCAGTGGAAGGCTCAGGTCTGTGATGGACAGCACAGTTTTGGGTTTTGCCAGTGCCTGAAGCTTCACCAGTTCTGAAATCTGTGAAGACAAATAGAAAGCAATTCATGAAAGATTTTTCACGCTACAATTTTGGGCTGCATGATAATAGTTAAACTGATAATCATGATCACTGTGCACAAAAATGACACCTCCCTGCATTTATTTGCTGAATTAAATGCAATACTCCAATCCAATATCACTTTTTCCCAAAATATTTGATGTGCATTGTACTCTTGACCATGAAGGATATAAAAGGCCGACTTGAATATGTTAAAAAATCATTTGGATAGACCTGTGGAGTTCTGGGAGAATGTTTTATGGAGCGATGAGACCAAACGGGAACCTTTTGGATTCATGTATCAGCGGTATGTCTGGTGCCATTGAGGTGGACCAGTTTCATTATGGGAGTACTTCGCTGCTGCAGGAAATGGAAATCTTGATGGTATAAAGGACATCATGGATTCTCTGAAGTATTAGGTCATTTTGTCAAAGACTGTGATGTCTTTCGTGCAGAGACTGAAGCTGATGATCATGGGAATTTCCAGCAGGGCAACCATACGCGTCCAAATTTCCTGAAGCTTGGTTGAGAGATTGGTCTTGAGTGGCCCGTTTAGTCTCCAGATATAAATCTCATTAAAGAAAAAGATTATCAGTGATCTGAAAGATTTTGCACATGAGGAATGGGCCAAGATTCCTGTAGAGAGGTCTCAGAAGCTTGCAAACACTTAGAGGCAACGTTTATTGGAGGTTATAAAGAATAAAAGATTCTCGACAAAATTTAACTTTAGGGGGTTGAATAATTTTGTACATGAATGTTTAGAACCAATTATCTATATATTTTTTGTCACACTTTACTGTAGGTTCCAACTCTTACTATTAACTATGACTTCTGCCTCAATAAACTCCTAATTTGCTGGTTATTAATAGTTAGTAAAGTAGTTGTTAAGTTTAGGTAAGGTGTAGGTTTAAGTGATCTAAAATATGATCATGCAGAATAAGTACTCTATAAATACTAATAAACAGCCAATATGTTAGTAATATGCATGCTAATATGCAACTAGTTAATAGTGAGAGTTGGTCCTTAAAGTGTTACCATTTTTTTTTTTCATCAACTTTACCAAGGGTCACTGAAATGTGTATTATTAAACTTTCTATATTGATTTAGAAATGCGTTAGTTGCAATGTTTTTGTAAAGTTTAGTTCATGGCAACAGAATGTCAGTCAGGATGGCTTCCTTGACAGGAAGTTAAATAATTTTGGCTGCAACTATACATGTTTGTCAGCATTTTCAGATCATCAGCGCTTTTTTTTTCCTTCCAGTGCAGAGAGAGTACCAAGCATGAAAGCCTGTGGAGGCTTGTTACCAATGCAAGATAACGAAAATGTCAAACATAAAAAACACAGCCAAACAAAAAAGAACAACCAGTAGGCCAATTTAGCAGATGACTATGCTTATTTAAATCAAGAGAAGCAGAAGTTGTGATCTAATTGTGCAGTCCTTCTAGAATACTGCATGTATATAAGTATGTGTTGTGCACGCATACAAGATGATTCTCTCACCATGGTAAAGGGCATAAATTGCAAGATGCTGCCCCGGCTGCCTTGCTCTGAGCACTCCACACACTCCTCGATAAAGCTCTGAACAAACTGTGTGTGAGGACCTGCTGTCTTGGACCCCAAGAGAGAGGAAATCAACAGGAACAGATTTGCTAGAAAGAAAAAGACGACAAGAATCTTCTTTGACTCTGACTTGTAAATAAGCAATATGGTGGCGGTACAAATATGGTACTAGATGGTAACACCATGTTATTAATCTATCTAGCGGCAGAGATGCAGCACAAACCTAGCACTCTGTTGAGAGGGTCTCTCATGTTGACGGTGTGAAGCTGAGAGGCAGACAGTGAACTGCTCATGGAACGGTCACCTAGAAAAGATAACATCAGTTACTCGGAGTTGGTCAGTTCTTATTGACCTAAATGTAATGTAGAAAAAAGAAAAAAAAGGAAATGTGTACTGTCACAGTAGCTATCCAAGCAGATTTCACTAAATCAAATCCTGCTAACTTCCCTTTCTCGGTTGACTGCATTAATAAAATCAACACTTTCGCTTCCGGCTCTTCCTTCTTTTTTTCAGTGAAAGTGACTAAATAGTCCTGGCTTCCAGACACTGCTTATAACAATACTGTTTTTTGTTTTTGTCTAGCTTGTGGCAAGTGGGGCAGGCAGGAAATGACCTGGACTGGACAGCATGACAGTCTCATCCTCATTGGAGCTGAGCAGACGCATCAGTTTAGATGGTTGCGTGTCGTCCAAAGGAAAAAGGCTGGTGTAATCCTACAACCAACAGAAGAAGAGTGTGTTAATTACTAATAACACCCAAGCTTTAGTTTTAAGAATGACATGCTTAATGGGCAAGACATACATGTGTTAAATATGCGACTATGTGTGAGAACACAAAGAATGACAGTTAACAAATGCTGTGAGAGAAACCGTGTGACTGACCTCTATATCCTCGCGTTGTCTCTTGCGCTGTCGTGCTGATGCTTGACCCTTATGGTGAGATGAGTAAGAACTAAGAGCACACCACACTGACAACCTATAACACACATATACACAGAGGTGTAAAGTATTGGAGTAAATGTAATTAGTTACTGTACTTGAGTATCTTTTCCGGTACTTTGTAGTTGTACTAAGTATCAAAGATAGCAACTTTTACTCTTTTTACTTTACTACATTTTTTAATGAGTATCTGTACTTTTTACTCGACTACATTTGAAATGAGTGTTGCAGTTACACATTGCATTTTGCATGGACCTAGCTTTTTCTGCAGCAGTTTATTTCTGCTACAAAAGACGTGATACTGCCTGCTACAGAGCACTGAAAGTACTGCATTTTGCCCTTACTCGCCCAAACTTATCAACAAGGCTACTTTATGTGAATGCGAGTTCCTTAGCAAGTATTTGTGAATCAGAGGTGTTTTATATATATGAGATGAGGACAAGACTGCAGCCAGCAATGAGGCCCAAACCAGCACATCCACTGCAAGAAGGCTTCGGCTTTTTCATTTTACTTAACATTATTTTATTTATCCATTATACTGAAGAGACCTTTTTGAAAGATATTGTTTTTTGTTTGTTTGTTTTGTAATTTTGAGGTGTTCAGTTTTATTTTGGTTTTAGAAAATAAATGTGATTGCTCTCCTCACAAATCAGCTCTTTCTTGTTTTTGTTTCATGCTCTCTGTGCCTCGCCCTGGACTTTTATGTCACTTCCTGTCTCCCGTGGTGTTTGTAGTCAGTTTGTAGTCCGTTTGTTCATTGTTTCCCCTTGATTAGTCTCCCCAGGTGTGTCTTATCTTGTTAAGCTTGTTAGCCCCCTGTGCGTATATATAGCCCTAGTTTTTCTTTAGTTCCTTGTGAGTTGTTGAATGTAATGGTTGTCTGTTTGCCAGTCATTCTATTCTATGTTCCCTTTGGGTTTTGCCTTATTGTTTGTTCTAGTTTTTCCATGAAATACCAGCACATAGATCCTTGCCTCTGCCTGTTTTCCGCAGCTTCTCCACAACGTTACAGTTTATCACTGGCATGTCTCTTTGGCTAGTGCATCTTTGAGCCTATATTTAGTATAAGTAAAATACTTAAGTACTGATAAAATCAGATACTCTAAGACAATTTTGGAATTGGTGACTTGTAACGTGTAGGGGAGTAATTTTCACTGTAAGGTATCTGTACTTTTACTCAAGTATGGTTTTTAGGTACTCTTTACACCTCTGTATATACAAACACATTATCATAATTTTTTTTTATAAAAACCTTGTGAAATTAAAATAGGAGCTTTGTGGCTTTTAGTTCCATGCTAGTGTCCTGTGAAACACTGACTACAGGACATTAAAATTTGGTCTCACTGCATTAAAGAAGGTTGAAAATCTGTCAGATGAAGGGAGATTCATATCAAGCATATTTGATCTCATGTAATATATATTGATTTAACTTACTGTAACTAAATTTAAAGAAAAAAATGGAAAGAGAAACCAAGAAGGAAAAAGCCTGACAACTCAATATATATATATCAAAACGGATGTTCGCTTTGAATCTTAGACTGAAAAAAGGAGGAAGTGGATCAAAGAAAGCAAGTAAAAAGAGGAATGGGCGTAAAGGACTGGGGTTCATTCATACATAAATTCATCATTAATTTATGAAACAATCCTTTCTGAGAAAAACTGCTGACCTGCAAATGCATAACCAAAAATAAATAAATAAACATTTTTATTAAACAGTGAAAGTATGTAAACCGTTTGTGAGGGCTCCATCTGTCTTTCCATATTAACTCAAGTACATGACAATGAGGACTTTCCTGTGGCGTCAATAATGGGGTCAACTATAGAAGGATACAGATGTCATTGTCATAGAGGATATTGTGAAAGATGGGACACTAATGACCTTTGACCAACAACCCTCTACATTGCGAGTAAAATCTTCACTCTGGGCGACTAAATGATGTCTAATATTAGCCAATGGCTAATAAATTCTTAGATTTTATGCGCCAGTGTGTGAGTTAGAGGCTAAATATAAGTTTAGCACAGATATTTTCACTCGCCGAACTCTTGACTGAGCGCTTCAGAGTTTCATTCTCTGTCAACCGACCTGTGCTATTCCTCAATTAATCTGAATGGATGCGCAGCCCACCTGTATTTGATGTACCGTAAACTGTAGTGCAAAGGCGCACAACTCGCTGTTGCTTTGTCTCACACACACGCAAAGAGAGAGACAGAGCGAGATAATCTTACATAATGTAGAATAAACGTGCTACATGTAAACGATATTCTTCGTTGTATTTTCCTGTCAAAATTAACAGTGTTCCTTTGGAATTCTTCAGCTTTTAAGAACTGCCGGGTTCTCCGGTAGTGGGTGGAGCTAATGCGCAAAGGACAATCTCATTGGCTGGCGCTCACCTATTATCGTCCCTGTTTTGATTTCAGCAAATCAATTCGAGCGAACGCAGGCAACGTGATTAATATTCATGAACCCAGCAGCTCATTAATCCTAGTGCGTTTTATATTGTTATTAGTAGAATTCGTAGTAGTATTGCTATCTTATCAGTATTATTATATATATTTTTCCTTTTGTATAGAAACACTAAATGACAAAACAATATCTTAAGCACCACCACCAGTCCTAAGTTCAGTCAACATGACAAATATGCATTTATACATGGTTATTATAATTACTAAAGTTCTATCATCATATAATGCTTAATTATCATAATATCATATTATAATGATTTATCAGTTGGTGGTTGCCATTGACTTCCATAGTAGGGGGGAAAAAAATATATACTATGGAAGTCAATGACAACCACCAACTGTTTGATTACCAGCAATCTTCAAAATATCTTCTTTTATGTTCAATATAAGAAAGCAACTCATACAGGTTTGGAACGACATGAGGGTGAGTAAATGATGACAGAATTTAAATTTTTGGGTGAACTATCCCTTTAAGTGTACTTTCAGATATTTAAAAAGCTGTGCTCTTTTACAAACATAATACACACACACACACACACACATTTATATATATATATATATAAAATAGTATATCAAATATTTAATATTAGTCTGGCGAGTAAACTAAAAAATCTACTGGCCAATGGTGATTCTATTGCCAAGGTGTTCGTATAAAGCACTAATGCGTCACTGTGGTAACTATTTAAGTAGATTTTTACAGTGTAAAGCAAAACCGCAAATTAAGATCTCTACCATTTTTAGCATTAAGGCCTAGGAGGAGTCCTTTATTCAATTATACTGAGTATCCTTTAATACTGTATTTGAATTGACAAGAATTAAAAAATGTTTTGTTTTTGGGTTAGGTTTTGCTTTAAGTGTACCTAAAGTGGGTTTGTTTACCACACTTCTAATGCAAATGCAATAAAAAGCTCATACTTTGCAAGGGCTCTTCCTGGAGGGTCTGCCAGGCTGTGCCAGTGGGCAGGGTCAGTGAGGAGACGTGGCAGAATGTGACCCAGCAGGGTGAGGGTGATCTGTTGCGTGTCCAGGCAGAAGATACTGTACAGCAACTCAACCACACGAGATGCCCACTCCTTACGGGTTTCCTTCAGGAGCTCCTACAACACGCACACACAATCAAGTCTGATAACAGGTACAGTTAAATTCTCATAATCTGTAGTAGCGCAAACCCAGACACATTTACCTTCACCAGGTTGTTAGTAAACCAGAACACTCCTCCCATATGTAGCAGGTACTCAAAGAGATGGAATGCATGGGAGTCCACCCAGCCCTTCTCCAGAACCTCCCTAAATTGAGTCTGCAGAGCCTGGCGGATGGGCTGACGGGCTGGGAGAAGGTTCCGGTAGGGAATGGGCTCCTGACCCTCGACTGCTGGCCGCAGGGAGAGTCCTGTCTGCTGAAATACATCAGCACACATGTGCTCCAAGATAGAGCTCATGATAACCACACTGGACATAGTGAGAGAGAGAGAGAGATACCAGTCTTTCAAAGACATTCAGGGATGTTCTTGGAGGACCAAGATCTGCAGAGTTTAATTCCAACCCCAATCAATCACGACAACTAGCAATTCACAACTCATGATGTGGGAGTGTGGCCTGGTGTGTGTAGACATTCCTTACCGCTCATGGTAGAACTGCAAAGTGTTTTCTCCTGACATAGGGGTCATGAGTTGACGAATCATAGTCTGAGGTTTTTCTCTCTCATCCAAACCCAGCATCCGAACGTGTGCCACCAGCCATGCCACCGCACAGATGGCCATACTGCACACCTTCCCTTTGATGTTATCTGTGATCTTCTACACTCACAGAAAGAGAAAGAGACTTCTTTAAGTACAGATAATAAAAATTAAACTACTGTATTCCTACAATATGTTCCAACTATGTTCTTTTTAAATTGTCATACGACTCCATGACAATAAATGTCTTATTGCTTTTAGAAACGCTGTGTCTGGTTAGGACACAACTGGACACCATGAATTTCATTACCTGAACAGCCTCCACTGATAAAACTCCATTCTCCCAGGCATTCAGAACCTCCAGTATAGCTGCTGGTGTACTGAGACATATTTCATGCCATTTCATCTGACTGGAGAGAGAGCACATGTTTGTCTGACAAATCCTTAAAGGAATAGTTCACCCAAAAATGAAAATGTTGTCATCATGTACTTACCGTCATGTCATTCCAAACCTGGACAACTTTCTTTCTTATGTTGAACACAAAAGAAGATATTTTGAAGTATTTTGGGGAACCCAACTGTTGTTGGTCCCCATTGACTTCCATAGTAGGGAAAGAAATACTATGGAAATCAATGGGGACCATCAACTTTTTGATTACCAGCATACTTCAAAATATCTTCTTTTATGTTTAACATAAGAAAGAAACTCATACAGGTTTGGAAAGACATGATGGTGAGTAAATGATAAAAAAAACATCCTCAATTTATTGAAACTTCAAAAACATCAATTTATAATCTGTAGCTCATTTGACTGCCCACAAAACTCTTCTTCAACAATTAATTCAAATTAATTTAATTTCTTAAAACATTCTTCTTAAGATTGCCCTGTCCCAGGTCTGTATATTCAAATTCTTCATCAAATGCAGTACATACACTGAAAGTATGCAATTTTGAATGCCTTTTTAAAAAATGTTTAGGTCCTAGGTCAAATTTGGTAGGAATGCCTGCCAAAATAGGCTAAAATTTCAGCTTTGTAGACAACTTTATTCAAGGAAACACTTACAGTACATTCTTATACTAACTACCATGTTATAAGGTATTTAGAAAGTTATGTTTAAACAGAGTCATTTCATGACAACATATTTTTTATTTTATTTTATTAAAAAGAATAAATAAGTTTAATATGTTTTACCAACACAAACATTAGCGAAAACTTATTTTGCATATTTCTCCGATAAAAATATTAGTGCTGTCGATTTAACCTTAATTAAAGTTAGTTTGGAGCAATTAAGTACAGAAATAAATAATGCATTAAAATTATTAATGCTTTTAATGCACCCCGCACCAGCCCAGACCTGTATGCCATCTTACATTGATGTACATGATTGCATGCAGTTGCTGATGTACGGAGGGATGTATGGAAATATTTTTGAGTGATGACACACAAAATTATTCATAAACAATTTAAACCAATTCACAGAAATGAACTTAACTAACCAAGTCTAACATCACTAGAGTGGGTGCTATATTGTATAAATCAATGTTTCATGAACATGCTAATGTGACAGGTGTGTTTGGTATATGTAGCTGATATGAAGCAGCACTTACACAAGCTTCATCTCAGAGGAAGAATTAAGCAGGGCCACCAGACTCTCCACCTTCCCAGACTCAGGTCTGAAGCAAGGGTGGTCTGGATTCAGGGTCTTCCCTTCCTCTGGCATGCATGTCTGCAACCACGTCTCAAAGAAGGGTGTCTCGCTCGATGGGCTGGGGTCCGAAAGAATCACCTGGACAGGTTGGGTGACTGATGTGATCAATGACTTGGATATAGATGTGATTATAAATTAAGAATGTTACTCAACTTTATCAGATTGTAACATCCATCTGCACTTCATCTCAAACGCTTGCTCTTTATAATAAACATGTTTGTGTGGAAACTGACCTCTGACCCATAGGTCTGCACGACATGACACAGCATGAGGAAGGAAATGTCGAACAGCAGAGCTCGCACTGACGCAGATTTTGCTAGAAAGTATATTTCACAGATGTTATGCTACAAACGAAATTGCTCTCAGATTCGGTGGGTAACAATCTTCACACACTCTCACACACTAAAGCTAAAAATGACTAAGACAAGTTCACACTGCAGATGTGAATGCTTAAGCAATTGTACATACTTAAAGGGGTCATATGATGCGATTTCAATTTTTCCTTTCTCTTTGGAGTGTTACAAGCTCTTGGTGCATAAAGAAGATCTGTAAAGTTACAAAGACTAAAGTCTCAAATCCAAAGAGATATTCTTTATAAAAGTTAAGAGTCAGCCACGCCTACCTAAAACGGCTCGTTCGAACACGCCCCCACATGTCCACGTCATGATGTGGGAAGATTTGCATAACGCCACCCAAATGTTCACGCAAAGAAAGAAGGCGTAACTTTTATTCTCGCTGTAGTATTGTTGTTGCCGCCGCCATGTCGTGAAGGCACTGTGTGTTTCATTCTGAAAGTGAAACTACTTTGTTTGGCCTTCCAAAAGAGGATGATATCTGCTTCGTCATGCCTGGAGCTGATCCGTGCTGGTTGCTGAGGAAATATAACAACTTTGCGCTGCGGATCACCGGATCGGCTTTCACCGTGGTCGTCATATGTGGTTGCCGCAAGCCCTCCGGACGCTCCATCGTCGAATCCGCCGGCCGCGCCGTTATCAAGCCCTCTGCTCACTCAGCCCGCTGGCCGTTCCTCACTCTAGCCCCTGGCCTCTGCTCACTCTAGGCCACCGTGTGTGACGCTGTGTTTCGTTGTGAAAGCAAAACTACTTTGTTTGGCCTTCCAAAAATGGACACGACTAGAAACCAGTGGATAAGTTGTATTTACAACACTGTTCCAGAACATACAGTATGTGGAAAATAATGTGTTTTTTGAACCTTAAACCGCATAAACACATTTCATTACACCAAATAATATTATTTTTAGCAACATCATATGACCCCTTTAAAATGTGTTCTTCAGTTATGGTGGTAACAAACCTCAATACTTGAGAACAAAACAGAGTGCACTTGATATTTCCGTTATCATTAAAAAATATAAAATACATAAAGATGACAATTAGAAGTGTCCTGTAATTTCATCTTGCCTAACATATTAGCCTAACACCCATCTAAAAAAGTTATTTATTAACAGGCTGCATGTAATCATAGCAAAATAAAGCACATGACTTACATCCTTCTCCACTGATGTGTTTTGGAAACTCATTCAGCCTGGAAGAGAACAGCAGATATAGGTATACATCTCCTAGACACTCGGTTCATGTATTTATTTGGGTTAAATATATAAGCTGATCCTGATACAATGTATCCAGTCTTATTCATATTGTCTTACTTGATGAATTTGCGAGCAAAAGACTTGAGTTTTCCGGTCGCTGCGGCAGCAGCCAGTAGCAAATCAAGACTCTTTCCTGAGAGCATGTGACCCAAAACTCCCAGCAGTCCCTCAGGAGACTTAGAATGATCCGCATCCACTGTCTAGACAACCAGAAAGGAAGAAAACATGTGATTAAATGGTAACAATTTACAATAAGGTTCTGTTTGATAACATTACTTAACATTAACTAACAACTAAAATACTTGCTTAACTATATCAAACATGACACAACAACTCATACAGGGCATTTTTGCCACAATATCTTAAATTTTAGGGGCATACAACTGCATTCCATAGGCTACATCACACAATGAGTTGTTGTCCTGCATCATGTTCGATACCAATTAACTGTATGAAAAGTAAGATGACCTACATAAATCTAGGGTAGGGCAGGTGCATTAAATGCGTTAATCATTTTAACATGTTATTTTTTTCATAACTAATAAATTAAATTAACATATTAAATCGACAGCTCCTAAAAATAATATAAAACCAGATGAGAACCTTGAGGATGTTGGTGACAGTTGGTTCAGCTCTCAGGATGAGGCCTGGGTTGGGCTGAATATTGGCGTTCTCGGCTGTCTTCAGTCTGGGTGCATGCTCTCTGTCCTCACTCCTGAAGAAAAAAAAAAATGGAACAGAGAGACATGTTTATAAAACATGCTTACAATAAAAATAAGAATAAAACATTCTGACCATACCGTTTTGCAGTAAGATTGGCGGTGTTTGCCTCAGACAGCAGGCCCAGTTTATTACACTCCTGCAGTAACAGACTCAAGCAGTCACAGCTACACATACACACACAAACACAAACAAACAACAACAGCGCTATAACATGTCGTACCAGCTGAGCTAACACTATAGTACTGATAAATAGTTTGAGTGCACTGTCAGTCATTTTGAATAAAATAAGTTTTTGTCCATACTAGGGGTGACCCCGAATAGTCGAAGATTCGATAAGAGGAGCCTGATTCGACTACCAATAATTATCTCGCAGTCGAATATTCACGGGGTGTTATGATCATGCCATTTTGGCTATATGGGGGTGCTCAGTGTCTGATTTAACATAGAACTTTTGGTTTTCTCCCAATAAGTTAATATACAGCCTATTAAAATAATGCTGTAAATAAGAATCTGAAAAGAAAGAAGCTTCAAATAAATATTTTAACGTGCGTGAATAAATCCAACCACCCCTATAGATTTAAGTTTCACTTTCCATAATCTGTGGCCCACTTAAAACTATTTTAAAACTTTAACTAAAACTCAAATTGACACAGACAGAGTGAAAGACTGGATTTTTCGATCAGGTAGGGTACAAGTGATTTCAAAATATTTCAGCCGGTTTATATATATCGTGTATATATTTTTTATCTCGTATAAGATGCATTTGTTTGCGCTGCAGTAAAGCGCTTCATTGTAGTACTACGGTGATTATCTCTTCAGCACGCAGCGCGAACAGGACAAACAACAATGCAGAATATTAATAACTATGACTGGGACGGTCATATACATAACAATTTTAATGAGAACACTGTTATAATAAAACGCTGTGAATTTTTTGAGTTTAGTTGCTGTGTTTTTGCACGTTGTTGCGTGAAGAACGCGTCCACAAAAGGACTTCATTCAGAGCCACGTAGACACGCTCATGTGCATTCGGGGCATTTTGTGCAGGTAGCCTATAAGTCGTAATATTAACGTTATGTTGTATAAATAATGAAGCATGTTCTATATGAGATAAATGATGAGTTAAATCCCATTGATTAAAAACCTGCTATCAAATGCTTCATCCTACTGGTCATCTTCAGCGTGCACAGCTCAAAACAGAAATGCAGAACATTAATAACTACTGTCATATACGGGTGCATCTCAATAAATTAGAATGTCGTGGATAAGTTCATTTATTTCAGTAATTCAACTCAAATTGTGAAACTTGTGTATTACCGTATTGTCCCGAATATAAGACAATGTTTTTTTCTTGGAAATACATCTGAAAAAAAGCAGTCGTCTTATATTCAGGGTCTAGACCAGGGTTCCTCAAATCTTACCCTGGAGGTCCAATGCGCTGCAGAGTTTAGCTCCAACCCTGATCAAACTCAGCTGCCTGTGATTTTCTAATGATCCTGAAGACATTGATTAGCATGCTCAGGTGTGTTTGATTAGGGTTAGAGCTAAACTCTGCAGGAAAGTGGATCTTTCCAAAAGGTACATCTGGAAAAAGGGGGGGGGTCGTCTTATATTCGGGCCAATACGGTAAATAATTTCAATGCACACAGACGGAAGTAGTTTAAGTTTTTGGTTCTTTTAATTGTGATGATTTTGGCTAACATTTAACAAAAACCCACCAATTCACTCTCTCAACAAATTAGAATACTTCATAAAACCAATAAAAAAATTTTTTATTGGTTTTATGAAGTATTCTAATTTGTTGAGAGAGTGAATTGGTGGGTTTTTGTTAAATGTTAGCCAAAATCATCACAATTAAAAGAACCAAAAACTTAAACTACTTCCGTCTGTGTGCATTGAAATTATTTACCGTATTGGCCCGAATATAAGACGACCCCCCCCCTTTTTCCAGATGTACCTTTTGGAAAGGCTTTTTAAAAACCAAATTTTGTTTTTTCTCAGTAAAACACATTTTGTCTTCAATTATTTTCATATTCCATATTTTTCCTATTTAAATTTTAGTTTTGAAAGTATGGTAAAAACTGGTAAAATGTACCAACAATCAAATTTAAAAAATATACACTTTTTGATATACCATTAAAAAAAAAAAAAACAGGTACAATGACAACAAATGCAGACAGATGCTGCCAAAAAAATAAAAATAACCTGTAGCCTACAAAATCGGTCAGTCATACAATAGTCTTATTCAAGAAAGAAGACTCTTAAGAAAGACATTTATCACAAAAATGTTATGTTTTATCTTTTTAAGTAAAAAGTAATTATGTTTTTTTTAATGACTTATTTTATCGGTGGATCGTATTGGTTTTTTTTCTTTTTAAAACAAGTTTAAAAGTCTCTGTTAGCATCTTTGTATGTTGTCATAATGGTTCATCATATTCCTTCCAGACCAGCTTCATTTTAACTACTGTATACTAACATTTAAAATAATAATTTGATACAATTCACTATGTACTTATATTTCTGTAATTACTTCTAAAATTACAAAACAAATTTTTTATAGGTACACAGTAGTTATTTTAACTAACTTATACTTACGTTGAAAAATTAATATAAATATAATTAAGTAACATACAATGCCTAATATAAACATGACTTAATATAAAGTGGGACTATGCTTCCTAGTGAGACACAAGCATCGTGAAACTAGCCGAATGACTTAATGGCCAAATTGCATTGAAATCATTGTGATTTTCAAATGGCTGCTTAATTTTATAATTGGCAGCAACATCTTTGCAAACACATTGCGAGTAATCAATTTTTTGTCCAGCTCTAACATTACTGCACTTCAAACAGTGAGTCTTGAGTTCTGGATTCTCACCTCTTGACCAATGAAACACACTCTTCAAGATTTTCCTTCAGCGTCTGATTGGTCACAGCATTGAGATTTTCTGACAACTTCAGCAAAGCTTGCTCTACATTGGTCCAGGATGCTTATGAGACAAAAAAAAGACATGGAAGTTTAAATGACATATAATGACCGTTATATTTATTAGATTATTACAATGATATAACTTTTTTTTTTTATATATATTTTTTAATATTACATTGTTATTCAATAAACAATACATTTATGTGGGTAAATTATATTTATGCATGCATGTATGCATGTCTACAAAAACATCTGATTGGTGATGCAAACAAATTGGTAATTTGATTCCCCGAAAGAGAGCATTTAAAAGAAATGATTTGTGAAAATCCGTCAGACTCCTCAATTGTAATTTTGAGTCACACTGATTAATAAGCTGATTCAGGACATTAAAAGGTTATTTTAGCAATGGAATACTAGATGACTACTTACTGAATCCTGTGATGTGGACACAATTTTTTTTAAAATAGTAAGTGAAAAACCGCAGACATTATGCAATAAACAGCAGTACGCTGTAGTGTCACATGGCCTCATTATGTTGCAACTGACAGAGTGGGCAAGGGTGCCTCAAATTGAATGTGAAAATAAACCACAGTACAAAAATATAACAAAGCAAATATTGTGAAATATGAGATTAAACTGTATAAATTACTTATTTTTCTGCAGTGACACTGTCCAACAGTGACAGCAGTGGTTAAAGTTTTACATTAAAGGAAATGAAAGGTATATCTCTGTCTATCCATACACTTGTGTTTACGAGTATTTATGACTGAGATGACCTGAAAAGAATGTGAATATTAAAAACAACGGCAAAATAAATATTTTATCCAACTAATTGCATGTCATGTGAGCATTTACCAACATCAGAGAACTGTAAACATGCAAATGTGTTGTTCAATTATTTACATATTAACTTAAAATCTCTCTTTGTTACAGACTATACTGTTTGATTTATGCTTTAAAAAGTATCAAAAGATACGCTTACAAATGACCGAGCACTAAACAGGGTGAATTAACACTATTGATTAATTTATAAAAGCAACAGAATCTTTGTAAATACGTCGAAGTTAATTATTATAGAAAATCCTTAGTAAATACACACACCTTGTTCCTCCAGGCGTGCGATGTGCACCAGGGCTCTGTTCTTGGTGCTGTGTAACAGATTGGTCAAGCGCTCCAGGCAGGCTCTCAGACTGTTTTCTAACGCAGGCGGACCCCCGGACTCCCGCAGTCTCTCACAGTACCACGCACAGCCCTGCAGGAGCCAAACTACGGTATACAGCATGGCACGGCACAGCCCAATACACTCCTCTGCCTTTCCATGGCAGCTGCGGGAGAGAAACAGAAGAGAGAATACATATTACCTGTGTTCTAGAAAAACTGCATCTCACTGACTCTAGGATGGATGGATGGATGTGACTGATTGACGGATGAGCACCTGAGTCGGTTGGAGAACATATCCATGATCTCGAGCAATGATTTGATACACAGTTCCCGTGAAAAATCATCAAACTGTAGGTGAACAAATGAAAATAGTGTGGTTATTTCAATTTAGTCAAGTAGAACTTTGTTTAAAATGGAAAATAAAGAGATAAAAACCACTAACCTTGCTGATTGCAGTCAGCACACTAGAATATGACACCATCTACAGGCGGGAGAAAGAATATCATGTCATCAATATAATGCCAACAAGTTGTGCTAGACCTATAGCGTACATACACTGGCACCTAGTGGTGTTGTGATGCACAAGATTACAATTTCTGGTGTTGTAGAAATGTACTATTAGCAAGACATTTGTGAGCATTTATTAGGTGAGCAAATGTGGCAAATAACAAGCTATGAAAAGTCAAGTAGTATTGGTGATAATGAATATGCCAAATTAAAAAATATAAAATAAAATTATGCTATTGATATGACTTGTTTTCACCTGTGAACTGATGGCATACTTCAGGTAGGACAGGATTAGAGGGTTAGGTGATGGACCAATCATAGCCTGCTCCAGGAGAGCTTCTGTATCAGGAGAAACAGTAATCACACCTTAACAACTACATGACAGGTTACATGTATCACAGAGTGTTATCTAACACAGCGACTTTGGAGGGCTGCAGTTCTGTTCTGACAGGGTTTTGGGCAGCAAAGAAAAAAGCAAATAATAAAAATAATAAATGTGCATATACATTTATGAAATTTCCCTTTTTTTATTGAACTAATTTATGATGTAATAATTTTGGATACTTTTGAGCACCTGGCAGTTAATGGGTATATGAAAAGGTTGGAATAGTTACGATTTTTTTTATGTTTTTGAAAGAAGTCTTTTATGATCACCAATGCTGCATTTATTTAATTAAACATACAGTAAAAACAGTATTTTTGTGAAATATTACAATTTAAAATAACTCTTCTATTTGAATATATTATTCATGCGAGTATGTTTTTGCTGCTTAATATTTTTGTGGAAATATATATATATATATACACACACACACACACATTAATCACACACTTAATTGCATCCAAAATAAACGTTTTTGTTTACATAACATGTGTGTACTGTGTATATTTATTATGTATATATAAACACACACACGTATATATTTAAGAAAAATATGTTATGTTTACATATTTAATTTATGTATATATGATATAATTTATATGAATATAAATATATACATGTAAATATTTTCAAAATACATGCTGTATGTGTCTTTATATATATATATATAATAAATATACACAGTACACACGCATATATTATGTAAACAAAAACTTTTATTTTGGATGCGATTAATCGTTTGATAGCACTAATATATATACATATACAGCCGTAGTCAGAATTATTGGCACCCTTTGTAAATATGGTCAAAGAAGGCTGTGAAAATAAAGCTGTATTGTTAATCATTTTGATCTTTTATTTTAAAAATTCACATAAATCTAACCTTTCATTGGAGAATAAGAATTTAAAATGGGGAAAATATCAATATGACATAAACGTTTTTTCTCAAATACACGTTGGACACAATTATTGCTACCCCTAGAAATTTTTATGAGTAAAATATCTGTGAAGTATATTTCCATTCATATTTACAGTTTTGAGCATACCAGGGTGATTGTGAACATGAAATTATCCAGCCATGGCTTCCTGTTTCAAAGGAATATAAATAGGTGGGAAAACAAAGGCCAAATTCCCATAATCATCCATCACAATGAGAAAAACCAAAGAATATATTTCTGATGTGCAGCAAAAGATATTTGAGCTTCACAAATTAGAAAGTGACTTTAAGGAAAGAGCTAGAGCAGTGAAAATTCCCATTTCCACCATCAGGGCAATAATTAAGAATTTCCAATCAACAGAAAATGTTACAAATCTGCCTGGAAGAGGACGTGTGTCTATATCGTCCTAATGCACGGTGAGGAGGAGAATTTTATGGGCTAAAGACTCTCCAAGGACCACAACTGGAGAATTGCAGAAAATAGTTGAGTCTCAGGATCAGAAAACCTTAAAATGCTATGGTCAGATGTAACAAAAAAATTATTTTTTTAGCAACAAACACTCAAGATGGGTTTGGTGCACACAGGGATAAAAAGTACCCCATGTGTACAATGAAATATACTGCTGTATTTTTAATGTTGTGGGCCTATATTTCTGCTGGAGGTCCTGGACATCTTGACTCTGTTAGAAATCTTATAATGGGCCGTGGTTGGATCTTCCAACCGGACAATAATCCAAAAACAAACCTTAAAAACAACACAAAAATGGGTCACTGGTCACAAAACCAAGCTTCTGCTATGGTCATTCCAGTCCTCTGACCTGAACCCTATAGAAAATGAGTGTGGTGAACTGAAGAGGAGAAGCACTATCATAGAGCTGGGAATCTGAAGGGTCTGGAGAGATTCTGATGAAGGAATGGTCTCTGATCTCTTGTCAGGTGCTCTCTAACCTCATCAGGCATTATAGGAGAAAAACTCAGAGCTGTTATTACGCCAAATGGAGGTTTCAAAAAGCATTGAATAAAAGCGTGCCGTTAATTGTGTCCAACGTGTATTAGAGAAAAACATTTATGTCATAATGATATTTCC